TACGAATGATACATATCATAAGAATTAAATAAATAATGAGGATAGTACCATTTGAGTTTTTAAAGATAATATCGCTTGGGTTATATTTACTTTTTAATTTAATAGAATTTAACTTCATAAAAACTTTATAGGATTCAACTTTGCGCCATTGCTGACATCAAATCTTTTATACAAATAATAGATATCATTAGATTTAGTAAATTTGGTGATATAATGATTTTCATGTAATAATTTTTGAAGGGGAATAAAGCCATTATAACTTGGATTGGAATAAAGAAACCATCACCACCCCCATTATCTTATAATAGTAATATAAAAATCAAAATAAATATTAAGACGATGATCATCTGCAAACTGTTGCACGTTCTTTACTGTACAGTAAGAAATTACAGAATTTAACTTGGCATCAATTGTTGATATCAAACCTTTTATACGTATCATATATATAAAGGATATAAAGGATTTCATCAACTCGATTAATCCTAATCGGTGATTAATTGTCAACCGTAAGTGGTCAATTCTACTAAACAGCAAACGCGATTAGCCATCAGTTCCACGGCCGATTAAGTAATTGATGTTGGTGAAACCGGCCCAAATGGTGGTTCTTTACGAGAAGCACGCTTAGCGCTTTTTTTTTACCTTTTTTTTTAAAAAGGTAAGTTTATATACGATTAAAGTTACTATTATTTTCTTTTTGGAAAATAAGAGAATAATAAAATTTAACTTGGTAGGATTTAACTTGGTAAAATTTAACTTGGCGTCAATTGTTGACATCAAATGTTTTTTTTAACTTGATATCAGTTGTTGATATCATACTTTTTATGTTTATGTAAATGATAAAAAGATACGTATCACTTAGGTTTTATTCGAGAAGCACGTATATGTTTAGCGCCTTTTTTACCTTTTTTTAAAAAGGTAATCTTTTACAGATACGAATGATAAAATTTTATAACTACTACTTTAGTTGGAAAGGAAAATGTCTTTGAATGAATTGCGATATACAAATTTCATATAAGAAAAATTAAAGTCATTTGGATCGTAATAGGAAGATCCTTCAATAGGAATATAAAGTATGAATGACACATCAGAATTAATATTATTTATTTAATTTGGTGTGGGATTTAACTCTGCGCCAATTGTTGATATCAAATCTTTTATACGAATAATACGTAAAATTTTGTGGAATTTAACTTGGCGCCAATTGTTGATATCAAATCTTTTATACAAATGATATAACATATAATTAGAGTTAAGTAAATTAGTTAAGACTACTTTCATTTATTATAACTTTTAATTTTTAATTTCGTACATTAGTTTTTTTTTACGAGTAATAATTTTTTACAGAGAATTAAAACTGCTATTACTTGGGTTGAAATAAAAGGACCTTCAATAAGAATATTTTTGAAAAAGAATTAAAATTGCTATTACTTGAGTTAGAATAATAAAAAGATACGTATCACTTAGATTCTGTTCGAAAAGCACGTATATGCTTAGCGCCTTTTTTACCTTTTTTTTAAAAGGTAATCTTTTGCAGATATGAATGTTAAAATTTTGTAACTACTACTATGATTGGAAAGGAAAATATCTTCTGAATGAATTGCAATATAAAAATTTCATGTAAGAAGAATTAAAGTCATTTGGATCGAAGATCTTTCAATAGGAATACAAAGACCAATCAAATCGTCTCAATTAGAATAACGTGTAGTAGCTGATACGATTTGATTGGTTGACGCAAGTTACAAGTTAGAGATCCTAATGCTGGAGTCCCATGAGGCGTATTTGCCGTGTATCGCATAATCGCGTAACCAATCAGAAGCGATCCTCTGCTGTGGTTTCGTGACATCCACTTTCTTGACGGCGAACACCTAGACATTTAGTTTCTCGATGACGAACACCTAGACACCCATTTCTTCGACGGCGAACAACTAGACACTCATTTCCTCGATGGCGAAAATCTAGACACCCACTTTCTCGACGACGAACATGTAGACAACACCTAAACACTTAATTCCTCGACGGCGAACACCTGGATACCCACTTCCTCGACGGCGAACACCTAGACATTCATTTTCCCGACGACGAACACCTAGATACTTAATTCCTCGGTGGCGAACATCTAGAAATCCACTTCCTCGACGGCGAACATGTAGACAACATCTAAACACTTAATTCTTCGACGGCGAACACCTAGAAATCCACTTCCTCAACGGCGAACACCTAAACACCCACTTCTTTGACGACGAACATGAAGACAATACCTAGACACTTAGTTTCTCGACAGCGAACACCTAGACACCTACTTCCTCGACGGTGAACATCTAGACGCTTAATTCCTCGACGATGAACATCTAGAGACCCTCTTCCTCGACGCGGTAATATTTAGACTAGATAGACACATAGTTCCTCAACGACAATCTCGATATTTCATTTTTATTAATAATTTGCGCCGCGTGCGAGTCACATCGTATATGTGATTCCCATGCAACGTTAAGCCCGATCTACAATTGCGTAAACGTAGTTGTAAATGGTTGTGAAATGTTGTAAAACGAAGTTTTAACCTGCTACTCCCAGTTGTAAAGTGTATTGTGAAAGATGGTTCAACTTTATCTTTCACACCTACGACTGCGTAAAACGTAAGAGTGAATCAATCAGAATGCTATCACGTGTTTACATTGTTATCGTTCTTTTTGTCTCGACGTATGAAAATGAGTGCAATTTTTTCATCTTTTATTGTGTTCATTTTATGATATATTATTTGACGAGTTTATTATATTACGAATATATAATATTATGTTACGAGTATGGAACACGGAGAAAGTGTTGTGAACAATGCTTAATTTAAAGAAGTTCGTTGAATCTTTACTCGATTGTAGATTAATATGTTGTACAACATTTACTACTACTTCCACAACCTTCGTCTACGTTTACGCAATTGTACAATAGATCGAGCTTTAGTTTGCTGGCATATATAGATAGATGACATAAAGTCAAAGGCATCTATTATCGAAAAAACAAAATGTACATTTCCCCTGGTCAACGACGATAATAATATAATGACGTATCTTAAAATTCAGACATTAGAACTTTACATCACAATATCTCCGCTTGTGGGGCACGTAGAAAAAAAATAAAAGCACTTTTATTATACAATCAAAGCGGTGGCTATCAATTGAGCGTATATAGAACTTGATCAGTTCAGCCGTTACCGAGATCCGATAGTCTCAGTCTGCCGCAACTCGCCGGTTAGCGTAAAATAGGCACGGCAGTATCGCTGCGCTTGGCTCAGCGCCGAGACACTACCGTGTCTCCAGATTATGTGAAATTTTATTGTGTAAAAACTTAATTTTTCTAAAATGTTTTTTAACTTTAAAAGTAAAGTATAGATTTCGCATATTAAGCAATAACAAAACGTAAAGAAATCAGGTCAATGATCGAGCCAATTAAGATGTATAAGTTAATTACAATTAAAACTTTATTATGTAAAATCAAATCATATGTATCAAATCAGACATAAACGCAATGATCACACATTATTTATTGCGTCTTATATATTATGTCTATACCGACAATATTAAGCAATAACAAAACGTAAAGAAATCAGGTCAATGATCGAGCCAATTAAAATGTATAAGTTAATTACAATTAAAACTTTATTATGTAAAATCAAATCATATGTATCAAATCAGACATAAACGCAATAACCACACATTATTTATTGCGTCTTATATATTATGTCTATACCGACAATATTATATTAGTGACATGATTAATTATTAAGGTTTTTTGTTTTTACTGAAGAAGTGACCCGTGGTCATGAAACGTATGATTTGATTTTACATAATAAAGTTTTAATTGTAATTAACTTATACATCTTAATTGACTCGGTCATTGACCTAATTTCTTTACGTTTTGCTATTTTTTAATTTTGAAATTAAAAAAAAAACGGAAAAAGACAAAAGAGAAAAAATGTTAGTTATAATGTGCTTGATTCGTATAAATTTTCTCAAATTTTTTTAAAGACTTTATTCGATAATCAATTTTAAAATTGATTGTTTGTACACAATAACATTTCACATAATAAAAAATACGATATCTTTGCGAAAAATTATCGTACAAATTTTTTTCAAAAAGCATTTTGAAGCTTAGGAAGCCTACTTTCAGACACTTTCATATTAAATTTTGTTTACTGATGTTTCATTGAATTGCGCTTTAAAGTAAGACAAAAATATTGCAAAGATATCATTTTTCAATTTTATGTAACTTAGGAACAAAATATCGTAGACAAAAGATTCAAACACCGATTTAAAGCTTACACTTTAAAATGCATAGTTGAAAACACCCATACTTACACTTTAAAATGCGTGATCGAAAACCTCTGAGATTTCTTTTCTCCGAGATATATAACTTTTCGTAAAATGCGAGTAAATTGTAAGTGCCTTATACTTTTGTCCAAGGCTGTATAATAGATAAATAATTTTAAATTTATTCTACACTCTATTTTTTGTTTTGCACAATCTTGATAATATTATTTTACAATTTTCCATGAATCAGCGTAAGTAACGCGAAATTTTATGACTTTATATAAAAAATTCAACTTTGATTTCACTCGTAATATTAATTAAAAATTTAATTGAAGATATAAATACTAAACACAAATAGTATTCTTCGATTTTTTATTAAAAGCGATAAAACAATCATTAATTTTACTTGTTTATATTCAGATAATAATTTAAATACACGTGACATGCCTTGATATTTTCATTGCAAAGACAATTCCAAATTGATCGAGGAAAATGGAGTTAAAGGATGATTCTTGAAAAACTTGTACTTGATGAACTTTTAGTCAAAAGAACTTACGATCATCGAATAAATTAGCATTCCATTTCTCATTCTCTCATAAAAATTGTTTCAATATGCGATATCCAAGGAAAAGTATATATAGATATACGAGGTGTAAATGAAATACAGTAAATGGAACAGACACTATGCCGAAAACTCACCAGTAATTCCCAGTCGGCGTCGTTAACCAGAACCAAGATGCCCGGTCTCCTAGGGAAACAAGATAAACTTTTTAAATCGAGTTGCGCGTTTCGCTGCTGCCAGCGTATTGTGTGTCAAAAACTTACAGATACCGTACTCTCCAACTCTCCATCAATTACGGGAAGTTGGAGGTACAAACGCGAAACAAACGCGCAACGAGCGCGAAACGAACATGAAACAATGAGCGAACGAAAACCCACCGCGATCAGCCACGATCATTCACTGCGAAAAACTGTCACTCGCAAAAAACGAAAATTTCAAAATGGATGTCCCGCCAATATCGTTCAGCCGATTGGCTGATACCATTCAAGTCGTTGAGCCTATAGAATTGGCCAATCAACACGACCGCGACTTTTGCAGTCGACTTCACTATGCTCGCTTGCGTGTCATGTAAATAGTACATACACCATTTCATCGTTTTGATCTCGAATTCGCGGATTTTCAATATTTTCTTTTCCTTTTTTCTTCGAGCGAAATATAAAAAACAAACAAAACTAAAATCGAGAAAAATATGAAATACACACCGCTATCAGTTCTCGTTTTAATCCCGTAAAAACTTTATTGAAAGATAACATCTCGCAAATCCAATCATTGTACAAATCATTACTACAAAAATATACTTGACGAGCGACGCTACCATGGTTGAATTATTAGAAAGGTTGCCCATTCCCATGGATGCGCAGTAGGTTGAAAATAGTGGGGGATCTATCAGCTAATCAAGTTTTGAGCTCATTTGCAGAAATTCACATAACTCGTTCACGCTGCAATGAGTTCAATTTCTGATTGGTCGAGATCTCAGATCATGTGACGGGTCCTCCGCCATTATGCGCAATGGGTAACCTTTCTAACGCTACCGCATCTCCTGATTATGCCATGAAAGCGAGTACTACGCTAATCAAACGACATGAAAAGCGGTCATCTTAACATGCGATATTTAATCCGATAAATCATAGATTTACACATGTTTGCAAAACATACAATTTTCAACAGTGACGAGAAATCGATTCTTTCTCTCTGATTCTAGAATTGGAAAGAGATGAAAAACAAGTTGAACCTTTGTTAAGAGTTATTGTTGAACTGGGTCTTATCAACACCGATTTAGGCCTAGTTCCATAACTCACAGTTAACTCTTGACCGAGGTTCAATTTATTCATTATCTTTTTCTAATTCTAGAATTGGAAAGAGATGAGAAACAAGTTAAACCTCGGTTAAGAGTTAACTGTGAGTTGTGAAACTGGGCTTTAATGTAAAATAAAATATGCCAAAATATAATATACGTTAAATCGACAATAAGAATAATAACCGAATTAAATCACGTAACTGTACTGTAAATTTTTTACTATACAATTTTCAATCGGCTACAAAAGACGCGGTTACCCAAGAAATCGATTCATACACGACAATTCCGTATTTACAAAGACACCTATCGTATAGATCGCGGACTAAGTGCATGGTGTAAACGTAACCATAACATTGATACTATGCGGTGTAAGGCCGGAATTAGACTACGCAAGTACACATTGAAGATTGAAAGCTCGAAATTTGACCAATCAAAACAATAGGATCTACAATTACTTCGCCCTGATTGGTCAAATTTCAATCTTCAATCTCAATCTGATTCCGGCATAAGGCCGGAATCAGACTACATATCGAAGATTGAAGATTGAAGATTGAAATTTGACCAATGAGGGCAAAGGAATTTTAACTCCTATTGTTTTGATTGGTCAAATTTCAATCTTTCAATCTTCAATCTCAATCTTTAATGCCTAGTCTGATTCCGGCCTAAGAAGATAGTAGTCTGATTCCGGCATAAGAAGATAGATGTAGATGGTGTAGATTTAGGGCCGGTAATCATAGTCGGATCTTATATTTAAAAGCATCTTAATTACAGTTTTAAGATGTCATAAGCCAATCACAGAGTATTAGCATCTTAAGATATTACTAAAAACGATTTTGAAATAAGAACCAATTATATATATCGGCTCAGATTACGGTGTAAGGCTAATATTTACATATGTTGTACAACAAGGTTTTTCAATGACTATGTTTACACGGCCCGATTTACGTCGAAGTTATAACATCGATGTTATGGAACTAATCAATCATTGACTACGTTTACACGGCTCGATTTACGAAGTTATAACATCGATGTTATGAAATTGGCCAGTCATAGCTATTCCCCTGAAGAATGGAATGACTGCGATTGGCCAGTTTCCTAACATCGATGTTATAACTTCGGCGTAAATCGATCCATGTAAACGTAATCATAGTTATTCTTCTGAAGAATGGAATGACTGTGATTGGCCACTTTCGTAACATCGATGTTATAACTTCGGCGTAAATCGATCCGTGTCAATGAAAACGTAGTTAATGTTAATTCATAACATCTTAAGACTGTACTTAAGAAGTCTTAAATATAAGAATTGACTATGAATACCGACCCTAAGTCAAAGAGGTTGTATACATAAGATGCATCCAGAAACACGACCGCTCATTGAGCGCTCAGTGAGCTCTTATACTTGTTTGGTCAATATTTTTAGATCTAATAGAATATGCTAATGCAAGAGCTCAGTGAGTAGTCGTGCTTCTGGATGCACCCATAGAGTAGGCAAGGCATAGGGGCCCCTGTAAGTGGAAATGTTAGGCCCTGCGCACAATAGCAGGAATAAGGAATTAGGAATAAAGAATAAACGATTTCAATCTATCAGAAATCGGATACATCGGGATACACGGTTTCTAATGGGTTGAAATCGTTTATTCTTTATTCCTAATTCCTTGTTTTTGCTTTTGTGCGCAGCCCCTTAGTAGAAAGGGATGGGTATCTTTATATGTCTGTGAAGCTGGACCATCGAAAATCAAGTTCGGAATAGGTCAAAAATTTAGTGCTAATTAGGTGCTAATTTAGTACCCTAGTCCGAAATTTAGTGCTCCAGCCGTTTAGCGGTAAAAAAAAATAAGGGGTCCAGCTTCATATGAAGCTGGACCCCCCATTTTTTTTTACCGCTAAACGGCTGGAGCACTAAATTTCGGACTAGGGTACTAAATTAGCACCTAATTAGCACTAAATTTTTGACCTATTCCGAACTTGATTTTCGATGGTGGGGGGTCCAGCTTCACAGACATTATCTTTATCTTTGTCTAATATGTTGCACGCGTATCGAACTTTGAAAACTGAGTGGGGCGGCATCGATATATTGCTCTCCTGAAATCTTCTCACCTAACAGTGAAAATCAACAGCGCAGGCGCGATTAAATAAAGATGCTGATACCCATCTCGTTTTCTATTTCTTTCTATTTGCTCACGCATTCTTAGCTGGCTCCCCTACTCTATGGCCGGAATCCATAGTCCGTTCTTAATCTCAAGCAATGGGTGCATTCAGTACTACAACCGTTCACTGAGCGCTCAGTGAGCTCTTGCATCTGATTGGCATATTCCGTTAGAACTAAAAATATAGACCAAACATATTCAAGAGCTCACTGAGCGCTCAGTGAG